AGGCATGCACGTACTCCAGCTGGCTTCCGGCTGTTGTGAAGACCGCTGTGAGCATGCACGTGCTCCAGCTGCTTTCCGGCTGTTGTGAAGACCGCTGTGAGCATGCACGTGCTCCAGCTGCTTTCCGGCTGTTGTGAAGACCGCTGTGAGCATGCACGTGCTCCAGCTGCTTTCCGGCTGTTGTGAAGACCGCTGTGAGCATGCACGTGCTCCAGCTGCTTTCCGGCTGTTGTGAAGACCGCTGTGAACATGCACGTGCATGGTTTTGTCTGGATGTACTTTCATTTGGGGGCATATTTATCTAGGGGTGGAATTGCCGGGTTGCATAGAAACTGTTTGCCTTTGGGAAGAACTGGCTGGCTGTTCTCCACAGCGGCTGCACTGCCTGCACCCCCACCAGCAGAATCTGACTCGAGCTGTGGTGGACGATGCGAGGCGGCGGCTTGTCGTGGTGGGGTTCACACTTTCCTGGCAGTGACATTGGGGAGCCTCTGTGCTCATTGACCATTTGTAGATCTTTTTTGGAGAAGTGTCTGTTTTATAGCCTTTGCCCACTTTAAAGTTGGATTGTATTTCTATTGTTGAAAGGATTCTTTTATAATAATCTTGATCCTAGACCAATGGATGTCTCATATTCTGTTGTAGTAAAGTCTTTCGTGTATTTTCCCTGGCCCCACTCCTCACCGTAGTTTTGTAGCATCATGCGTGTGCTCTGTAAAAGTGCCTTCCTGAGCTGTAGGGATTGCCCCCGGGTGCGTGTGGAAGGTCATGAGTGTCGTCTTGGTCAGGCAGTTGTGAGCATCTGCTGGGCGGCAGTGGGGAGCCCCAGGCTATGCCATCGGCAGCATTTGAAGTGGTACTGGAGGACTGGTGCTGCTCGCGCACTGGGGACATCAGGGACGAGGCCGTCGGTCCCGTCCTGGGGTGGGAAGCATCGCACTGGCGTTTGGAGGTACAGAGGCATTCCCAGAGTCGTGGGCCGAGCCAGCTTTGTGCTCCACGTGGAGTTGCCGCTCACGGGGAATCCGCGTGCCTCTGCGTGTGTGTAACTGTCCCAAGTTATCACCTGCGTCTGAGGGTCAGAGTCAGACAGGCGAGCTGGGCTCTGGGTGGTGAAGGAAAGATGTGCGTTCCAGTGTCAGAGGTCAACTTCAATTGTCTTTTTAATGCATTTGATTTCTTCTACTTTAGGTAAATCTTAAAATGAGAGAGATAACAGAGAAAGAAGTTAAGTTAAAACAGCAGTTACTGGAAAGTCCAGCTCATCAAAAGGTAAAGAGTAAACTTAACTTTTCTGGAACCATTGAGTTAATGTTACTCCCTGTCTTGAAGAGTCGTATCTGTATGTGCTCCCTGCGTGTTCTTTGTTTTTACTCACCAGGCCGGGAGCGAGTGCCCTGGACCCCTGTCCTGGTGGCGAGGGTGCCTCCACCTGCCCTGCTTTTTCCCAGACGGGGGTGGCCTGGTGTTGAACTTGGGAGGGTGAGGGAGAGGTGGGAGGTATCTGAAGCTCAACGGTAAGGGGTGTAAGGGTCACCGGGGTTTAGCCTCGAGGAGCCAGCAGAGGAGGCGTGGTTGCCTGGAGCCGGAGTCCCCTCTGCCCTTCATTTGTCAAGTCCAGCGTGGGATTCAGGCGGATAAATGTCACCTGTCCAGTGAAATGATGCACTTCTGTCCCATTCTTCCCAATTTTTTGTCAAGCACATCTGGGACTGAATCCATGTTCCTCAAACGCGTGCAGCGCGTGGCCCGGACTCATCTGCAGTCCCTGGGCTGTGGCGTAAGCGAGTGTCCCCTAGCCGCCCTCTCTTGCCCTAGACTCTGGGGATGCCGTCTGTGGGCGCCTGACCCCAGGCCATGCTTTCGTTAGCCTCCCTACTCATTGGTTGGGCACAGATGGCTCGCTGAGCCCCTCTCTGAGTGGCAGTTGGCTCCTGTCCCTTTTGGTGCCCTGCCTGGCCAGTCTCTGGAGTGTTCGTTGCTCCTGCAGAGGCTAGTGTTGTAGAGGTGCCTGTGACCTTCCACTTGAGGCACCTGACGGTACAGGATGTCCCGGGTCATGTGCACGGGACAGGCCTCACTTCTCAGGACGTCCCTCCTCCCCTGTCAGCGCTGTGAGAAAGTGTGTGTCGCGTCCTTCCACACGTGGGCCTGCCCTGCTGACCTCCTCTCCTGCCTTCCTTCCCTTGCTGCCCGAGCAGTCTCCTTCCAAGTGGTACTGGAAGTTAGTGCCTGTAAGTGAACTCTGCACACCAGCTGCCGTCCAGACAGCCGTCCTGTCGCAATCACTCGCTTCCATTAACAATTGCTCGCGACTGTTTCTCTGTTCATATGTCCTTGGTGGTGGTGCGCGCTCCCTGCGGTGCAGTGGTGACCTGACTCTGGGCTGAACGGACTGTAATTTGGCACTTTGGAGTTCTCTCTTGCTTTTTACAGCCAACGCAGAGTTTGGTTTCGCCCGATTTCTTAGGTGATTTTACAGATAGTTTGTCTCTTCTTACAGACACTTAGTTACTTTTTTATGTGATGAACTTAAACATCAATGACAGGATCCGTTCTCCTTGCTAATGGAGCCCAGAAGGAGCCACAGATCACCTGATTTCCCGAATTATTCTTCATAATTAGTTCTTACTGATGTCACCATCCCTGACGGTGCTGTTTAACCTGGTGTCCCTTAGTGACTGTAAGATGGGTCATCCAGTGACCAGGATGCTCGTGGGTGGCAGAGACGGACTTCTCTCTCCCGGACCTTCCCCCGGGTGTCGGAGCTGCTCTGTGCCTGCCTGCGTGGGGTGGCGAGGGTCTGAGGTAGGTCAGCGTGGGTGCCCGATTTCTGGAATCCACGCTAATGTTAAATGTGAGTTTTCCCCTAGAAAGAAAGTTGAAAAGTAGTGATTTGGTTCTGCAGTTCTCCCCAAGCTCCACTCAGTGACCCGTCCCGGAAGTGGAACCGGTTGTTATGCTGTTCCCGTGGCAAACTTCTTGGTGCTCCAAGTGGTGCATTGTAAAATGAAGTTTTGGAAAACAAGTCTCTTTGCAAACTCCTTTAATTGCCTCTTCCTTAAGTTTAGTTATTTGGATCAAATTACCCTTAGAATTCTCTCATAAAGCAGAGGCTGTGGATATAGACCGTGAACGGGACCCCCTGAGCAGTGATGTTCTGCTCTCTGGCTTCTGGAGTCACCCAGAGCGGGGAGGCATTTTTATGATATTTACGTATCTTTTTTTAAATAGAGATACTGGGGATTGAACCCAGGACCTCGTACATGCTAGAAATGTGCTCTACCACTGAGCTACACCCTCCCCACTGCGTATCTTTTAACTTCGAGAATCCTAAAGGCCAGAGAGCGAACCATTAAGACAGTTACAAGGGTTAGTGAGGACGTGGTCAGAAACGCGGGGGTCTGCAGGGAGCAGGGTTTCGGGTGAGAGCTTTGCAGAGACCAGAACGTGCGCCCGAGAGCAGAGACCCTTCGCGCTTCCTCGTGGTCGTTTGTCACTGTGGCTGTCCGACCGCGCGGTGGGCCGAGTGTGAGTGTCCAGCCAGGTCGGCTCGGGCAGGGCTGCCTTTGGGGCCCTGCCAGCCGCACCCCGCCGCCCAGCGCTGTCCTCACCCGCCGCGCACCATCCATTGCTTCACCGCATGCTGTGCTCGTCCGGCCTGCTGTGTGTGGGCCCGGCCTGGCGCATGCCTCGTGCCTGCATGCTGGGGCCGGGGGCCTGGCCGGGCGGCGTGGGCCCAGAGACAAGTCAGGTCTCCACCGAGACTGATTAAGTGGTAGGGAATGAGCTGCACTCCTAGTCATAACAGAGGGGGAAAGGTGCAGCACCCAGACGCCAGCACTGTCTGCGCTGCGGGCGACTTGAACTCCTCCGTGCGTGGGGGGGTCCCTTTGCGTGAACCCTCCCATGGCCCATGGAGGTCCAGCCAGAGGGGGCGGCGAATATTCTCCCCTGGGGTACACGCGGCTGCAGGCGATGCTGTGCTCACCTGTGCCGTGGACGTGGGGCGGGCACCGTGGGTCCGCACTCCTGAGCGAGACCTGGTTATGGGGTGGCACTGGGGCCCAGGAGGCTCAGAGCACTATGCCTGGGGCTTCCTGGAAAGGCAGAAGCACAGAAACCCGGAAAAGATGCTTATTTTATGTTGCACTTTGCCCGTGTTCAGGCTCCTGGCACTTCCATGCAGTTGTTGAAGGCCTGGTTGACGTGCTAGATGGCATTTTGCCTCACCTGGTTTGGGAACCTTCTCAAACTGTATGTTAATGCTGTTTTGTGTCTTTCATAACGGCCAAGCTTAATGCTGACAATTCTGAGCAAAGGAACAGTAACTGGGGTCTTCCAGGCGTGAGGATGTTCACCATTTAATTGTTTCTCGTCTGTTTATAGAATGCCAGCCTTTGGTAGTGTAGACGGTCACCCTGCCGCCTCCCCAGGCTGTGCCACAGCACTTGAGAGAGACGGCCCTGGTGTCACGAGCAGCTAAATGCTGTCGCCCAGTGTGGCCTTGAAGCCCGTTCCCTGGATCTTGACATGTGTGTTCCAGGTGGACTACGTAATCCGGACACCTTGGGCTTTTCCCACGTGGGTGCCGTTGTTCTGAACGTTGTCCAGCCGTGTGGTCAGCTCCATGTTTAGCGGTCCGTCTGTAACGGAGGCAGCGGCGAGGCGCATCGCACGTAGAGACCGTTTTCCTTTTCTCAACTGCAGGTGCGCTATCGCCGAGAGCACCTGTCCGCCAGGCAGCCGCCCTACTTCCCGTTGCTGGAGGACCTGCTGAGGGATGGCAGTGATGGGGCCGCCCTACTGGCCGTGGTCCACTACTACTGCCCAGAGCAGATGAAGCTGGATGGTGAGTGGAGGGCGCTCCTCTTGAGCAGACCTGAGGCTGCTCAGCGACCCAAGCGCTAAGGCACCGGGGGCAGACACAGCGAGTCGTCAGCACCACCGTGGTCGCGTACAGAGGAGCAGGTCTGAGGATGAGGTGCTGTACTCAGCCTGCATCCTATCTGGTGGGGAAATCGGACCTTGAAGTATTTGGGTAGTGTGTTAAACATTTGTGACTTTACCTAAGTCTCAGCATGGTTAAGATTTTGTCAGCCTGCTCCAGCTGATTGGAAACATCTGAGTGTGGTTTGGGGATGGCAGGAGTGCAGAGTCCAGTCCGTCTGTCTGCCCTCCTGAGCTCTCCTCTGCTCTCAGTGCTGGGGCCTCACCACGTGGTGCGTCTCCAGGCGCTCACACTGGGTGGCGGGGAGGGCACGAGGATGCCGTGAGCGGCAGACGGGCACCTGCCGGGGGCCGGGGCCAGGAGTCGGGTGTAGGTTCTGCTGAGCGCCCTTCTGTCTGAGGAGGGAGGCGTGAGGCAGACAGAGGGCCTGACTGCTGGCCACGTGGGGAGTGTCTGTTAGACTTGCTGAGCTGACGTTGTCCTGCTCCTGATCCAAGTGCGGAAGTGCTGGGTTTTAAGTTTCTTTAGACAGAGTTGTTCCTGAGACACACGCTGAACTTGAAAGAACCGGGGTGGGGGCAGGTCTCAGGCTCCAAGAGGGGTCTCTATTTTGAGTGAAAACTGCTGGACTGTCACCTGGTTTCCCGGGCCTGTTGGGCCTTTGTGCTCCAGTGGCCTGGCTGTGGGGAGACCTGGAGGCCTGGGGAGGGGCGGCGTGGAGGCATTTCGGGGGGTGGGAGGGGGTGGGAAGGAGGTTGAAGCGGGAGGTGAGTTGGTATGCAGTCGAGCCTGGGACTGTGAGACTCGTGGGTCTGGGCAGGAGTGAGGCAGAGCCGGGGCCTGCGGACACACGGAGGGGAGCACAGAGCCCCATGGGGCTGACTCGGCCAAGACTCGGGGAGGGACACTGGAGTGTGAACGGGGGACATTTGAAGTGACGAAGACGCAGGGGGGACTTGGAGCGGAGCGCCTGTGCGCGAGCCGTCCCGTCCGCCTTCCCCCTCCGCACCCTGGGTGTTTTCTCCAGTCGGAGACGCCAGCGGTTCTCGGTTCTGGCTCTGGTTGTGTAGCCTGCTTCCACCCTGTCTGCTGAGGGGTCTGGAGACAGAAGGAAGTCCTGGGGGTCAGAGTCATTGTTAACGATGATGTGAAAACCCACAGGACAGTGTGCTGAAGCTCATTGCCTCACAAAGCAGCACATCAAAGTGGGTTTTAAAAATGCCGGAATTACAGGCGACACGAGCAGAGCCACACTCTCACTTGACTTGCAGAACCGGGGTGGTGGGGCAGGTGCGAGCAGAGTGAGGCCAGAGGAGACTGAACACACGGGCAACAGACAGCCCCAGGGCCCCAGCTTGTGGGGAATGTGCCCTGTGAAGTTGCGTAAGCATGGAGGCCTTTACAAAAATGGACCCGATTCAGGCCACAGAAGAAACCCTGATAGATTACACAGAGTTGACAGTTTCCCCACAGCACAGGAAAGTGAGGATCAACAAAAAGATGCAGCCTCTTTTTCCAAACCTCTAAAATCTTTAGTGCTTAGAAACCAAAGAAGATACTAAAATATTTCATGGATTAAAGTAGAAATCGTGGTGGAATTTTCTAGTGGGAGTTTTGTAGGACAGGCCTTTTTGCCTGTTCTGTTCACTGATTCATCCCAACCATCTAAATAGTGTCTGGGACAAGTTGGTGTTTAGTGGGTATCTGCTGAATAAATCAATGAATGACATGCAGGCCAGAACTCACGGGACACATCTCAGAGTGGCGGGTAAAGGGAAACTTGTAGCCTCAGTGCATATTCTGGACACCAAGGGATTTAAAAATTAATGAATCAGACTGATGTCAGCGCATTAGAAAGGAACATGGAAATAAACCCAAAGGAAGTGAAGGAAGGAAAAGGGAACAAAGAGGGGTTGTCTATTTGGGCAGACATCACTCCAGCTCCAGGAGGAGACAGGCTGAATCCAGGTTCCATCCTGGAGGAGACAAGATGCCTGGACTCTGAGCAGCCCCCTGATCAAGAGCAAAGGAGAGGGGGCCAAACCGAGGGGCGAGCCGGTGCCCACCCACACAACCCGGGAAGGTGCCAGAACGGACGTGCTGGGCCGGCAGGAGACGGTGGCCACTGGGCGGGGGTCCTTTAAAAGTCTTCGAGAGCCCAAGTCCAGGGAGATGGGGGTGCTCTCTGGGCCTGAGCAGACAGGCTCCAGTCCAGACCCCCAGCAATCTTGTCCCTCAGTGATCTTGTCCCTCAGCGATCTTGCTGCTGGCAGTCTTGTCCCCAGTGATCTCGTCCCACGCGAACTTGTCCCGCGTGATCTTGCCCCCAGCGATCTTGTCCCTCAGTGATCTTGTACCCCGCGATCTTGTCCCGGTAATCTTATCCCTCAGTGATCTT